TGTACAGAAGAGGGCAGAGGATATGACAGAGGGTGGTATGTTTGCTGCCCACAGGACAGGAAATCTTCTGATTCAGAATTGATGGTTATTGATCTTTCACTGATTAGTAACTATTAATTCTCATGGTGGTCCTCATTTTATGAATGGGCTCCAAATTGTGGCCTTTATTTTATGATGAGGCTTCAAACCATGGCCAGCTTTTTATGAATGGACTCCACAATGTGGTCTGCATTTTTTTAATGGGCTCCACACTGCATTATGAATGGAGTGGCATGTATCCTACAATACAATGTGCAAAACACTGGAACCGGCCCACAGCACCACTCCAGTATTGATGTAGGTAGATGTGTTATAATCAGACTTCCTTTTATTACTGAATGTAAACAATGACTTTCTTCTGTTATGAGAGACTGCTGATTCCCCTACTGGGCCCTGGGGGACGTGTCACGTGACCGGCGATGTCACCGCACATGCGCAGTGGAGGTGATTCGAGCAGGGTTTACTCGGCTTCCTCTTCCTGCCTCAGCTCCGCCCACGTCCTCCCCTGGTTGTCAGTATCTCTTCCTAGTGGGCGGGGCCTGCCTTGACAGGGAAGATGTAGCGCTGGAGGAGATGGAGCGGAGAATGGAGAGGGAGCGGGTTGCCCGCTGTGAGATGGCCGCCCTCTCGCAGGCTCTGGCAGTGCTCTGTGCCTGTCTCGCACTGTCCGACCCCGGGTGGCTGCTGCTGCGGGTGGACGGAGACGAGCTGGTTTACGGGGCCTCATACATCATACACCACGGGTTCAACTTCACTGAGACTGGTGAGGAAAGGGGAACTGGTCCGGGGGAGGAAAGGACTGGGAGGAGGGGTGGATTATTATGGACTTCTGGTCCTGGGAGGGGATGAAGGTGCATGCAGGTTATGACAGTCACAGGACTGGGAGATGAGGGGTGTTGGAGGGAGGAGAGATCTGGGAGGGGCATGGAGGGAGGAGAGATCTGGGAGGGGCATGGAGGGAGGAGAGATCTGGGAGGGGCATGGAGGGAGGAGAGATCTGGGAGGGGCATGGAGGGAGGAGAGATCTGGGAGGGGCATGGAGGGAGGAGAGATCTGGGAGGGGCATGGAGGGATGATTGTTACATTGGTCTGCGGTTCCTCTACGAGGGTTTAGTAGCCCCAAAGTTTACAGTGTGGTCAGTCACATTGATAGTAATGACCGGTTCTCTTCTTTGCCGTTGCACAGGTACCCACCAGCTGCTCCATAAAACCGGACTGTACATCCTGGCCCTGATGGCAGTTTGCTGCTACATCAATATCCTCCTCGGATCCTTTGCCTTCATGCTGGACTTCCTCAGGGTCCGGTCTGTGGGGATTACAGTTTCCACAATCCTGCACTTTATTACAGGTAACTGGCTGGTGTGCATAGAGACTCCGCAAGCGTTTTATTGCTGTCACAGTGTGGAAGGTTTCACCTCACTTCCTGTACCAGTGAGAGGGGGCAGGAAGTGATGGAGAATCCAGGGGTGGGCAACCCCTGCCCTCCAGATGAGCTCTAACTACAAATCCCAACATGCTTCTGTCTCTGGGAGTCATGTCTGTAACTGTCAGTCTTGCAATGCCTCGTGGAACTTGTAGTTCTACAACAGCTGGAGGGCCGGAGTTGCCCACCCCCGGTCTAATCTGATCTCAGATATCTTCTGTTCCGATCACATGGCTGGATTCTGCGGCCATCATGCTCTCAATCCAGATGGTAGATATGTCTGACTGCGAGTCAATCATCACTTCTCATTGCTCCACCCAGAATGTAGAAGAATCCTCCCGCACCCCTTACTGGTATGTCCCGTGCGGTGGGCGCTGTATTGCCCGCGGATGGCACCGCTGGAGATCCAAATAGTAAAGTATGTCACCAGCACACCGTGGTTCAATCTTCAAGCAGTGACCATGTTATTGGCACATTGCAATGTATCCGGGCGGTGTCTCTCCTCCCACATTGCTCAGCCGCCTATCACAGTCCGGCAGAGCATAAGTAGGCGGAGACAGGACGCGCTGTCACAGGAGGCTGGGCTCTCCTCCCTGCTCTGCTCACTCAGCCTCCTGTGACAGTGTGTCAGAGAGGAGAGCGGGTACAAGCAGTCAGTGATCAGTGATCGCTGAGTGTTTGTACATAATTGAGGACAGAGTATGGTTACTATATCCTCAATTATGAATGAATGGGAGTGATCTACATCACCTCCTGTCCATTCATAGTTGTATTTATAGTAACCATACTCTGTCCTCATGTTATCAATGAACAGCAACACTCATAAAGGATTCCTGTTCATTGATAACAGGGGACACAGAAAAAGAGATTGAGGACTCTGTCTTCTCAATCTCTTTTTCTATTTTAAAAGGGAAATATCAGGGGTCTGCTTAGATCCCCAACATTTCCCCAAAGCCCCTATAAAGTAAATATGTTTCGGCGGCCGATATATCGGTCCATCCCTACCAAAAATGTTATGAAAAATGCACTTAAATGCCCCAAAACACAATAAAATACCAATTTTTTAAATATAAAAGATGAGGTTACAATGAGTAGATACCCAACATGCCCAGGTTAAAAATTGTGTGCATCTGGGAAACTGCAACAGAATTCAGTACCCCAAAAAGTCAGTAAACGATGCGGGGGGGGGGCGGCCCCTTCTTCGGGACGCAGAAGCGATCTGGCGACAGGTAAGTCGCCAGGATCGCTTCTGTTGTAAAGCCGACAGTCGGCTCTACAAGTTTAAACAGAGTCCCAGCGGCAAAAGTCGCCGGGAGTCTGTTTAAACAGCCCCGATGCTGGCGACGTACACTGTACGTCGTCAGTCACGAAGGGGTTAAAAGCCCCCACAAGTCATCAGTTTAGAGATACGCATAAATACTGGCTCTAGAATTATTGCTCTCACTCCGGTGTGCGTGGCGCTACTCAACATATGTGGCGCAATTTTCGTTTTACGTAGGCGCACCCGACGCATGTTTACGTGAAGACACGCGTGCTGGCGGGGGACTTTAAAAAAAGTTGTTATCATTTTTACATTTATTTAATTTAATATTTTTCAACACTTTTTTTTTTTTACTTTAATTGCTATCACATAGGGGGGCTTACAAGCCCCTCATGTGATATCAGATTGGCAGTGACAGGTGATGCTGGGGGTCCAAAAGAACCCCAGTGTCACCTTTACACTAGAAATAAGCAGACCGCACTTCAATAGCTTATAGATGGGCTTCAGGAGCCGACCAATGACAGCTCAGGGACCGGAAGTGATGCAATACGCATTGCTCCCGGTCCCATAGAACAGGGAGGAGATCGGTGAACGGACGTTCGGCAGCTTCCCACCAACACCCAAGATGCCGGTCCGGAGCCCGTAGGAGGGACAGCAGAGCCCAGGAAACACGGCGGGGGTGTCGGGAGGGGGGGGAGGCCATTTACCGGCCCGTAGAAGCGATCTGTCGACAGCCGGCCGCTGTATATAAACCTCCGGTCTGCTGCCCTATTGTACCTGTACGTCCTTCCGTGCCCGCTCCCAGCACAAGAACAAGCCGCAGCTCACGCTGTCATTGGCTAACAGAGAGCTTCGGCTTCAGGCACAGAGCTGATCAGAACGTCTCTTGCAACAGCGGCAATGAGTAAGAGAGCGGGTCTGAATTGGTGACCCTATAGCCCCTTCTCTACAGTGTATGTTGGCTCCATTTTAGCTCTGCTCTGAGCTGTATATTAACCCCTGCTTATCCTGTGCATCTGTACATGAACCCCTTCATCTCCATCCTCCCGATGTATGTGACCTGTAAATTAACCCCTTCACCTCCTCCCTCTCTGTATGTCCTGTACATTTAATGTATCGGCCATTACTAAGTTCCATGTGTGTAACCCCCTCAATACCGGCACGTTTCTTCCTTTCCCCAAAAATGCAGATCATTCTGCCGTTGTCTACTTTCCTCGTTCTCAAGTGGTATCCACCAGGGAGCATGGAGCTGGCTTCCCGACCAATCAGGAAGCCGCGGGGTGGACAATAACTCCCAACCTCATTGGGCGGGAAGCCAAGTGACGAGGGAGCATGAAGTTGGCTTCCTAGCCAATCAGCAAGCCGGGCAGTGTGTAATGACTTGCCGCCCGGCTTCCTGATTGGTCAGGAAGCTGGCTCCATGCTTCCTCGTCACCTGTTGACAAGGAAGCATGGAGACGGCTTCCTGGCTAATCGGGAAGCCGGGGCGGTGAGTCATTACATGCCACCTGACTTCCTTAATAATATTTCCGGTATTGGCGAGTACTGGGAAAACAGTATCTGTGCATCCCGAATAGTAACCCTGTTTGCCGCCCTCACCTGTGTGACCCTGTACATCCACCAGAGGGCGCTATTGTCCATTCTATTACATCTTCATCTTGCATGACATTTTAAGAGCGGCCTTAGTTAGCCCAGTTGTCTTATGGTGTTGCAGATGAATTCAATGGTTTGTAAATCACGAAAAGAACTAAGGTGTACCCCCAACCCCTAATTTTTAGACTGGCCCTAAACCTCATAATACCCTTAAAATGAATGTTTAGGCTAGGTTCACACCTGCACTGCACCGCAGGACACCCGGGATCGTTTGGTCCTGTTCAATGCAGGCAGCAATTGCCGCGCGGCCCCATTGATTTCAATGGGGTGACAAGTACCTTTTTTTTTTTTTTTTGCGATGCACGACGCACAGCTGTTTTAGCCGCGTTCAGAAGCGCGGGCAGAATCGCGGCTTGACTGGGGTGCCATTAGAAAATAACGGCACCCACAGCGTGATCGGATCACACCTTGGCGGCTCCTGACCGCGTGGCAATCCACGCAAAATCGTGCACGATTGCCACGCGGTGAGGTGTCGCCTAGGTGTGAACCTAGCCTTACACTGAACCCTAAAACAAAACCATGAATCCCCCTAAATCAGGGGTAGCCAACTTCGGCACACCAGCTGTGGTAAAACTACAAATCCCAACATGCATCTGCCTCTGGGAGTCATGCCTGTGGCTGTCAGTCTTGCAATGCCTCGTGGGACTTGTAGTTCCACAACAGCTGGAGTTTTCGAAGTTGCCCACCGCTGCCCTAAATCTTAATGGCAACCCTTGGCTTTATCACTGACCTTAAGCTGACCCTTAAAGGAGAACTATGGGGTCAGTGTTTTTCCCCATAGTTCTCCTTAGGGTGACGGGAGGACACAAACTAGCGTCCTCCCGTCACCCTAAGCTCAGTATACCGCGAGCTGCAGCTCACGGTATACTGAGACGCTGCAGCCGGAGCGGATCCCGACTTAGACGACGGGATCCGCCCAGCTGCGTGAGTGACAGCTGGCTCTGCCTATCTAGAGGCAGAACCAGCTGTACCCGCCCCCTCCCCGTCCGTTCCGCCAGTCAGCGCTGCCGGGGAGGGGGGAATCCAGCCCCTCCCCTGTCAGGGCAGAGAGCCGTGACTGGATCGAGAGGTGAGGGAACCCGGTATGTGTTCGCTCACCTCTCGATCTACTGAGCCGACCTGTGACAGTCTCATTGTCACAGGTCGGCTAGAACTATGAGGTGAGTGAAAAGCACTCACCTCATAGTTCTCCTTTAACAATGGGGGGAATTTATCAAAACTGGAGCAGACAGAATCTGGAGCAGCTGTGCATGACAACCAATCCGCATCTCTCTCTTATTTTCAAATCTTAACTGAACAAACTGGAGAGGGATGCTGATTGGTCGCCATGGGCAACGGCTCCAGATTCTGTCTGCTCCAGTTTTGATAAATTCCCACCAGTGTATCTAAACCCAATAACAGACATACGGTGGTCTGTAGTCTTCAGAGGGGAATTGGGAAGGCTGACGAGGCGGCTGGATTAAACACAGCAGAGTGCACAGCGCAGCACTAGATTTCTGGCAATGTCGGGCGTTTTGGGCCCTCCGATCCCCAGATCGGCGCTAAAGGCCCACTTTACTCTGAGATCTATCACGCTGAGAAGAACATTGAGAATCATTGATGGGAGTACTTGCAAGTTCCTACCTTTTGTGGGTTTTCGTTAGGGGCCCATTTATAATGCTCACTCCATTCTACTCGCTCTGCTATGACTCCTATGTGACGTCTCACAGAGCTGTCTCTGATTATTGCAGCACAGAGAGCTCTGTGATCGGAGGAAAGGTCACTTTTTATATCATTACTGTACTTCAGGAGGAGGCAAACTCCGGCCCTCCAGCTGTGGCGCAACTACAAATCTCATTAGGCATCGCAAGACTCTGGCAGCCACAGACATGACTCCCAGAGACAGAAGCATCATGGGATTTGTAGTTTCACCACGGCTGGAGGGCCGGATTTTGCCTACCCCTGCTGTAGTTGATTGGTGTTCCGGACTCCATACTGATCAAAACAAGGCATCTAGCATTTTTAAAAGTAGGCATGTGATGGCAGCCCCCATACTTCTCTCTTCACAGAGTCGCTTTAAAAGAGAACTATGGGGTCAGGGCTTTTCCCCATAGTTCTCCTCAGGGTCACAGGAGGACATATACTAACCACCTCCCGTGACCCAAAGCTCAGTATATCGCGAGCTACAGCAATAATACATTATACAGCGCAATGTAGAACACCGCCAGCTATAAAGTACTATTGCTGGGATTTGTAGTCCTCTATAGCTGGTGCCATTCTGCATCGATTGCTGTATAATTTTACACTTTCTATTGCACTATATTGCTCACCACACTTGTTTTTTTTCTACTTCCACCGCTTCAAGCTTACTCCTGTGATGGACTACAATCTCAATACAAACTAGTAGTCCATCACTGGAGCCTTTTGTTTTGTTTATCCCGATTAACCTGTTAATTGAATGTAATAATCGGCTAACTAATCGATTTTGAAAATAATCGCTAGCTGCAGCTCTAGTGTTCGCTCACTTCCCGATCTACTGAGCCGACCTGTGACAGTCTCATTGTCACGGGTCGGCTCGAACTATGAGGCTTTCACTCATCTCATAGTTCTCCTTTCAGCACATTGCTGTTAATGTGTAGCTTTTTTTATTTTATCCATAGCATTGCTTTATAAATGAGCCTCTTAGTGTCCCAGAACGCAGGCTGTATAAATGAAGGAAAATAAACACAGGGGTACCTATAGGCATCTTTTGTAGCCCATTGAAGGAAATCGGTCTGAGAAAAATGAACAGCCGCCATCTACCTGATGGCCTGACCATGTTCTGGCTTCGGTCCGTGTGGAGTCACTGACCCAGAACAAGTTCATAGATGAGCAATTCTGACTTATCTCAGACTCCCATGTGCTACATGCTTGTTCCAGGTCATTAACCATGGCACAGAGTAATGGCTTTTATATTTGTGGGACTTCTTCAGCTTATTTTATTCATCAGAGACTTTGGCATTTGATTCATTGGAGCCACAACCATTACGCAGGCTGGCGAGGTGTCCTCCACCCCAGAGGGCAGAGTCTGGAAATTTCTGAGCGCCCGCCCCATAAAAATTGAAAAACTTGGCATGGGATTCAACCTCCTGTTGTCTCTTACAACGTTTCACCTGTTAGTTGTGTGTAGACAGTATTTAAGGACAGCTAGGTTGGTATTTAACCACTTGATGACCCTTTCACTGCAAAGGCCTTTTTTTTTTGTCTTTTACACCCATGATATAATCCACATTTAGGCCTGAAAATTACTTCAAACCCCCCAAACATTATACATTTTGTGAAACCCAACATACAATATAATACTCCAGGGCTCAAAATGTCATGTCCTGAGCTACTAGCCAGGACTTCAAAGTTACTCGCCACTAGTTGCCTTGCGGTGCCCTGGAATGATAGAACACCGGGACAGGACGGGGGTGTAACACTCCAGGCTTCAAGGGGTTAATAAGCGGAAAGGCACCCTGTATGGTTCTGTCCAGTTCCTGGAAATGGCTGACATACTTGGGTTAATGACACGGAAAGAACCAGCCCTGCACACCTACAACGTCCCACCGCAGTGACTCGGCGCTCTCCGGCCTCCACTATTCATCGACCACATCGATCACGGGCAGCACAGGACCAAACAGCCAATCACCGCCCCGTCTCTTATTAGACAGACCAGTCAGCGTCTTCAGTGATTGGCGCAGGAAACAGGAGGATTCTGATTGGCGCTCAGACGAACATTCGGCTCTCAGTCGAACAACGGACCTTAGTAAAGATGGCTGCCGTCATCCGGCCATCTTTAACATGGGACGGTGCACTGCTTTGGGCGGCAGCATACGGGTAAGCCATCTGGGATCCCTCCAGGAGTTGGGTACTCGGTCCATGACCGAGTGCTTGACTCAATGAAGGGAATTTATCAAAACTGGAAGAGAGAGAATCTGGAGCAGTTGCCCACGTTAACCAATCAGCTTCTCTGTTTCATTTTCAAATCTTAACTGAACAAAGTGAAGAGAGAAGCTGATTGGTTGCCATGGGCAACTGCTCCAGATTCTCTCTCTTCCAGTTTTGATAAATTCCCCCCAATGGCTTCATTTCCACTCGCCCCCACGCAATTTTCAATCGCAAATTGCGAGGGGGCGAGTGGTAATTTTGAGCCCTGTAATACTCCATTATTTTTTGTAAAATATAAAGTTACAACGAGTAAATAGATGCCCAACATGCCCAGGTAAAAAATTGTGTGCGTATGTGAAACGGCGACAAAATGCAGTACCCCAACAAGTCCAAAGACGCTTTCAGAGCCCCCACAAGTCATCAATTTAGAGATGCATGAAAATATTGGCCCTAGAATTATTGCTCTCACTCTGACGTTTGCGGCAATACCCAACATGTGCAGTAAATCAACGTTTTCGTACATAGGCGCACTAGACGCGTGTTTACATGAAGATGCGGGGGGACTTCATAAACATTTTTTTTATTATTATTTTCTTGTTCTTATTTTTACAATTATTTTTTAAAACAGTTTTTTTTTTTTTTGTAAATGTAATTGCCATCACATGGGGGGATTGCAAGTCCCCTATGTGATAGCATATTGGTGGTGACAGGTACTCTTTAAGGTGATACTGGGTTGTTAAAAGACCCCTAGTGTCACCTTTACACTCTAAATAAGCTATTGGGAGTGCAGATCGCACATCAATAGCTTATTGCTCTGCTTCAGGAGGCCAGCAATGACTATGGGAAATGGCAATACGCATCGCTCCCGTTCCCCTAGAACAGGGAGGAGATCAGTGAACAGACGTTCGCCGCTCAGCTTCCCATCGACACCCGAGATGCCATTGTAGTCCCTTGCCTTCCAGTGCGGGCGATCACACTGTGGGTGGGAGGCGCGTTTGGGGTGCCATTAAAATGAATAACACTGCAACACACCTCCCACAGCAGAATTTGTCAGGCCAGAACCAACAATATAATTGTAGAACTGCATTGTAAGCACATGGCGCTTGAATAGCTTCAGCCAGGGAATGACAGCTGCCAGTGGCAAGATTCCACAGAATGTAAATACAGCAGATAGTGGGCGGGTGCAATAGCCAGCCTGCTATTGGATATTTCAAATTGCAATAGCAGGCTGGCTATTGCACCCACCCACTGCTTGCTGTGCCCTCAGCACAGCATGGAGGAGAGAGCCAGGGGCTCCAACCAACTAATTGATAATGAGAATAGTAGGCAACTATTCTCACTATTGATTAGTTGGTTGAAGCCCTATTTACAGACTTCCTGTCCTAAGGTGACAACGCTGCATCTCCATAAATCCAGTACAGCGATTACGTGTTGACAGCATGGAGGAGAGAACTACAGGATCCAACCTACTAATTGGTAATGAGAATAGCTGTCATCGATTATTATTGATGAGTTGGTTGCGGGCGGCGAGTCGTTACATGCTGCCCGGCTTCCTGATTGGCTGGGAAGACGGCTCCATGCTTCCTCGTCACCAAGTGATGAGGGAGCATGGAACCGGCTTTCTGGCCAATCAGGAACCCGGGCGCTGTGCAATGACTCGCCGCCTAGTTTCTTGATGGGACGGGAAGCCGGCCAATCAGGAAGCCGGACGGCGAGGCATTACCGCCCCTGGCTTTCTGATTGGCCAGAAAGCCGGCTCCATGCTCCCTCGTCACCTGTTGACGAGGGAGCATGGAGCCGGCTTCCTGGGCCAATCAGGAAGTTGGGCAGCATGTAATGACTCCTTTATCCAGCTTCTTGGCCAGCATCTCAACCAATCAGGAAGCCGGGCAACAAGTCATTACACAGCGCACGGCTTCCTGATTGGCCAGAAAGCCGGTTCCATGCCTCTTCGTCAACTAGTGAGGAGGGAGCATGGAGACGGCTTCCCTGCTAATCGGGAGGCCGGGTGGTGAGTCATTACACACCGCCTGGCTTCCTTAATGGGACTTCCGGTATCGGTATTCGGTACCGGGGAAAAAAATATTAGTACTCGATACCGAAAAACTGGTATCGGAGTATCACTAGCTAAAATCCAAAGCCCCGGTTTTGTTGGAGCTTACATAACCACTGTTGGAACCCAGTTTCTGCTTGAGGGTCATGTGTTAAATGCCAGAGTGTGGGAACCGTTGTCGGGTCTTATGACAGCTGTCGGATGCCCCACCCTAAACACAAAACAGCAACAAGGTTTCCCAGCACACTCACCAGCCAGCATGTAAAAAAACTTGTCTCACCGCTAGGGTTCAAAACACTAGGGTCTTCTGCAGAAAATGTGAAAGCCGCACAGCCGCGCCAAGGCACCTCTTATAGTGCGGTCCTAACTCTAAACTATCAGAGTCTTCATCTTGGAGCAGAAGATAAAATTGGGTGCAGGTTTGTCAGGAGGAAGCCCAACCTCCCTTAAAGGCACAGGTACACACAAGGGACCCCGCACATCCCAATGGCAGCTAAGACCACCATGCATCACTGCACCAAATAAGTCAAGCAAAACAAATGACAAACGCACTCATCAATTCGTCACCAGCTTTACAGCACATTTTCTGCAGAAGACGTGTATCCAGAGCTCTGTTTTGAACCCTAGCGGTGAGACAAGTTTTTTTTACATGCTGGCTTGTGAGTGACTTTTTGCTGTTTTACTGTATAAATCCCATTCCATGTGCACCTTGCTGTAAAGCTGATGACGAATTGATGAGTGCGTTTCACAATTGTTTTGCTACACCCTAAACACAGACATGTTGTAGAATGATATTGTATTGCCACTAATGCATCATACATCTTGTGACCATCTGACGTTTTCCTTGTTTTGCAGTTGTTTCGTCGGCAGCCTCTGTGGCTCTCTGCTCCTACCTGTACGTGCTGCTCCGTGATGAAGTCTACTTCCAGGTCACGAAGCCCCCCTTAAATTACGTAAAAATGGGAGAAAGTTACTACTTTGCCATCTGCACCTTCCTGGCTGCTATTTCGGCAACTGTGCTTAGTTGTTGCTCAAGGAAATACCGAAGAGACTACGAAACGGAAAGCCCTGTCTCGGGGACTGACGTTACCACTCCCCTTCTGCAGGACTCTGTGAGCCCGGATAGCCCGGGGGAGTATGGGTAATTCAAAGGACCATGCTATATGGGCAGCCCAAAGTCTCCTCGCGGCGGGGGAACAAAAGATGATAGGACTTGTCAGAATTTGCAGCTCCTCAGCAATCCATGCCCATGGCTGGCCTATACTGTGCAATTATGCGAAGGACCAAATATTGGCATTGATGCAAACCTTTCATGAGCTAATCAAGTACAAAATACCCCTCACCCATTGTATAGCAGGCACTCGCTTGTACCAAAAGTCACCATTAACTTTCCTGTTCACCAGCTAAATTAGTGCTGCAGCTCTTTAGCCCCTTACCGCTGGCAATTGACCGTTCATAACAACCGAGTTGGCAATCAAGTCATTACTGTGTATGGCTTTCACAGTGATCATGTGATTGGTAGCCCAGCCTACTGGCCCCCGATCATCAATGTGTGACTGGGAGCGCTCAGTGACAGTGCAGTAACAGTGCTGATTGAGTGTGATCCCAGCACAAAACATAGACATATATATGTGGCTAGTCGGCGTACAGCCCATCTCTGCACTGCTACATATAGCCGTACGCCAGCAATAAGAGTATCAAGACCCAATACTTCCAACTAGGGATGCACCGACACCGGGTACGAGTACCGATACTTTGCTTTCAGTACTAGCTGGTACCGATACCGGTGCTTCTGTTGGCATGGACAATCAGGAAGCCAGGCGGCGGGTAATACAGCAAAAAGTTTTCCCAGCACACTCACCAGTCAGCATGTAAAAAAACTTGTCTCACGCTAAGGTTAAAAACAGAGGTTTGGATACACGTCTTCTGCAGAACATATGAAAGCCGCACAGCCGCGCCAAGGCACCTCTTATAGTGCGGTCCTAACTCTAAACTATCAGAGTCTCCATCTTGAAGCACATGGGGCAGAAGATAAAAAACCCTCTTAAAGGCACAGGGACGTACAAGGGACCCCGCACATCACAAGGCAGCTGGGACCCCCCCATGCGTCACTGCACCAAAACAGTCAAGCAAAACAGATGACAAACGCACTCATCAATTCGTCACCAGCTTTACAGCAAGGTGCACACGGAATGGGCTTTAAACAGTAAAACAGTAGAAAGGTATCATGGCACACTCACAAGTCAGCATGCTGTTTTACTGTGTAAAGCCCATTCCGTGTGCACCTTGCTGTAAAGCTGGTGACGAATTGGTGAGTGCGTTTGTCATCTGTTTTGCTAGGCGGCGGGTAATGCCATGCTGCACAGCTTCCTGATTGCCTGGGAAGCTGGCTCAATGTTATTTGGTAGGCTCGATTGTGAACCGGCTTCCCAGCCAATCAGTATTAAGCCGCTGATTGGCTGGGAAGCCAGGCGACTAGTAATGGCCCGGCTTCCTGATTGCCTGGGAAGTAGGGTTGCCACCTTTTCTTCCATTGAAACCCAAACACTCTAGCGACGCACAGAATTTTTTTGGGGAGAATGAGTCGTAACTTATTCATATGTAAATAGTGCCACCCATTTATATGTAAATATCAGTCATGACTATTTTCAGTGGGGGGCCAGCAGCCACTATCTTAATTTTGCTTGCCCCTGTCTGCCTGGCATCTTTTGTCCGGGTTTAAGCCCCCATGAAACCCGGACACAGCATTCAAAACCCAAACTGTCCGAGTGAATCCCGGACAGGTGGCAACCCTACCGGGAAGCCGTGCCGTGTCCGCCCACCCAATCAGCAAGGAGCCAGCTTCCCGGGCAATCAGGAGGCGGGTCATTAATCACCACCTAGCTTCCTGTTTGCCCAGGAAGCCAGCTCCATGCTCCCCTACAGCACTGCCGGTCAGAGGATATCTTCCTCTGACCGGGAAGTTCCAGTATCAGGGGAAGGCATCCCTACTTCCAAACAGCATGGTCATATGGGAGCAGGACACGCCTAACAATATGAAAATGCCGGCATTTGTGTAAAATCATTGCAGTGGTTGTAGATCAGAGTAGCCACAGACTAGTATACAAGAGCGGTATAGGTCCATTATAGCGGGTGTCTGCTATGTGTACGCATGTAATATTTTGTATTTGATTAGCAGATGACAGGCATGTTATAAAGGTCAACACAACCCAAAAAATATTTGATTTAAACAGTTGCAGGCAAGTTCAGTTACACTCCTTCTTTATATATTTCTCGGGGACTCCAATGGAGATATATTCCCATCCCCCCCCCCAACCCCCCCGGCCAAAAGATGGCATAGCCCCAGTGGATTCTCCATATTAACAGATATTTGGGGAGTCCAGCTGCGAGAGTGATCCCTTTTCTTCTGGCCGTGTGTCAGGGGTGCAGAATCAAACTACTGCTGGGAAATGTCACCATTGTCATGTCTGAGAGATGTAGGAAGACGGCTGGTGATTGTCCACCTGAAAGCGATGAGCTTCCCTGGAATTGACCTTTTAATCTGAAACTGGTATTGTTTGTGGTTTTCTCTCTATAGTATTATATTTATATCATGTTTTATGTGAACATATCCTGCGGGCACTAAACTATAACCACTGGCCTTATGACTGCAAAATCTTTTATACTGGAGGTTTTGCATTGTTGTAAGTTGATTACTGTCCCCTCTGCGGTTTCAGTTTTACGTTGTGTGAAATATCATTACATTGCACTCACCTCAATTATGTTGTCATTTTTACATTTTTATGTTGTCAATTAAAACAGAATTATTCTGAGGAAATATCTGTTCATGAATTTCTTTATGAGGTTTAGCAGATGTATCTAAGTGTGTGCATGAGAGGCTGGATACCCCAGGGGAAAGTCAGGGTGCGTATATATGTTTATGTATGGGGGTGAAAGCATGGACTCCACTAGACCTCTGAAGGTATGTTGTGGTATCTGGCACCAAGCCGCCAGTAGCAGGTCCTTAAGTCCTGTAAGCTGCAAGGTGGGACCTCCATAAATCAGGCTTGTTTTTTCCAGCGCATCCCACAGATGCTCCATTGGATTGAGATCTGGAGAATTTGGAGGCCAAGTCAAAAGCCCGAACTCATTGTTGTGCTCCTCAAACCATTCTTGAAGCATTTTTGCAGTGTGGCAGGGTACGTCATCCTGCTGAAAGAGGCCACTGCCATCAGGGAATACCGTTTCAATACAGTACACCCGTACTTGGTCAGCAGCAATGTTTAGGTAGGTGGTATGTGTCAAAGTAACATCCACGTGAATGGCAGGACCCAAGTTCTCCAAGCAGAACATTGCCTTTGCTGGATTGCCTTCTTCCCATAGTGCATCCTGGTGCCAGCTATTCCCCAGGTAAGCGACGCACACACACCCGGCCGTCCACATGATGTAAAAGAAAATGTGATTAATCAGACCAGGCCACCTTCTTCCATTGCTCAGTGGTCCAGTTCTAAATCTCACATGTCCATTGTAGGCACTTTTGGCGGTGGACACAAGTCGGCATGGGCACCTTGACCAGTCTGTAGCTACAAAGCCCCATACACCAACAAATTGTGATGCTCTGTGTGTTCAGACACCTTTCTTTTGGAAGCAGAATTAACTTTTTCAGCAATTTGAGCTAAAGTAGCTTCTCTACTATTGGATTGGACTACACGGGTCAACCTTTGCTCCCCATGTAAATCAATGAGCCTTGGCCGCCCATGACCCTGTCACCTTTTCAGTGACATCATTGTACCATTGCTCGTTAAATTGATGCAGTTTAGTTTTCTTCTGAGTGAGGGGGCAACAATAAGGGGGAATCAATAATATATTTTCAGGGCTTGAAAAATTTTAGGGTATCTCACCAGTCAGTCAAAAATGTCACCAGTCAGCATGACCGGACTATAGCCTTGCAATTTATGCTTAACATTTTTTTGGGGACATATAGAGCTTTCTTTTGGTGGTATTTAATCACCACTGGGGGGG